TTAGGAAACTGACATGAATAGTAGCTTCTCTTGTGTGAAATACATTGTACTTGCTGGGAACATTCGCGAGTGCTATTTGCACTGTGTATGGACAGTTGAGCACAATAGAGACTCTCCTTACCAGAAAACAACTCTTGCTGCTTATACCAGAAACTGCATGTGATTCAATTCCCTTATTGAAAGAGATTTCAACTCTAGCTCGCCTTACAAGAAACACACGCTGCTTTTGAGAAAGCAGCACTCTTCTACTCCTATAGAGCCAGAACAGTCAGCTTGCTCAGAACAAAAGAACTGTGCTTCCTACACCCACGGGCCATATCTAGTTCAACTCTGCTTAGGAAACTGACAAGAACAGTAGTTTCTCTTGCGTCCAATACACTGCACTTGCTGGGAACAGACACGAGTGCTATTTGCACTGTTTATGGCCTATTGAGCACAATAGTGACTCTCCTTACTAGAAAACAACTCTTGCTGCTAGGACCAGAAACTGCATGTGATTCAACTCCGTGTATGAAAGGGAATTCAACTCTTGCTCGCCTTACAAGAAACACACTCTGCTTTTGAGAAAACAGCACTCTTCTACTCTACTGTGTTTCCTATTGAGCCAGAACAGTCAGCTTGCTCAGAACCAAAGAACTGTGCTTTGTACACCCAAGGGCCATATCTAGTTCAACTCTGCTTAGGAAACTGACAAGAACAGTAGCTTCTTTTTTGTCCAATACACTGCACTTGCTGGGAGCAGACGCGAGTGCTATTTGCACTGTGTATGGCCAATGAGCACAATAGTGACTCTCCTTACCAGAAAACAACTCTTGCTGCTAGGACCAGAAACTGCATGTGATTCAACTCCGTTTATGAAAGGGAAATCAACTCTAGCTTGCCTTACAAGAAACACACCCTGCTTTTGAGAAAGAGTGTGTTTCTTGTAAAGCTAGATAGTGTTGCATTCCCCTCCATAAACGGAGTTGAATCACATGAACTTTCTGGTCCTAGCAGCAAGAGTTGTTTTCTGGTAAGGAGAGTCACTAGTGCGCTCCCTTTGCCATACGCAGTGCAAATAGCACTCAGGTCTGTTCCCAGCAAGTACAGTGTATTGGACAGAAGAGCAGCTACTGTTCTTGTCAGTTTCGTATGCAGAGTTGAACTAGATATCGTCCGTGTGTGTAGGAAGCACAGTTCTTTGGTTCTGGGCAAGCTCAGTGTTCTGGCCCTATAGGAAAAACAGTATAGTAGAAGAGTGCTCCGTTCTCAAAAGCAGAGTGTGTTTCTTGTAAGGCAAGCTAGTGTTGCATTTCCCTTCTTAAACGGAGTTGAATCACATGCAGTTTCTGTTCCTAGCAGAAAGACTTGTTATCTAGTAAGGAGAGTCACTAGCGCGCTCCCATTGACATACACAGTGCAAATAGCACCTGTTTCGGTTCCCGGCAAGGACAGTGTTTTGTAGGGAAGAGAGGCTACTGTTCTTGTCAGTTTCCTAAACGGAGTTGAACTAGATATGGCTCGTGTGTGTAGGAAGCACAATTCTTTGCTTCTGAGCAAAGTCACTATTCTGGCCCTGTAGAAAACACAGTAGAGTAGAAGAGTGCTCCTTTCTCCAAAGCACAGTGTGTTTCTTGTAAGGCGCGCTAGTGTTGCTTTTCCCTTCATAAACGGAGTTGAATCACATGCAGTTTCTGGTCCTAGTATCAAGAGTTGTTTTCTGGTAAGGAGAGTCACTTGTGCGTTCCAATTGCCATACACAGTCCAAATAGAACTCTCGCCGGTTCCCAGCAAGGACAGTTATTGAAGGGAAGAGAAGTTACTGTTCTTGTCAGTTTTCTAAGCAGAGTTGAACTAGATAGATATGGCCCGTTTGTGTAGGAAGTGCAATTTTTTCGTTCTGAGCAAGCTCACTATTCTGGCCCTATAGGAAACACAGTAGAGTAGAAGAGTGCTCCTTTCTCAAAAGCAGAGCGTGTTTCATGTAAGGGGAGCTAGTGTTGCTTTCCCCTTCATAAACGGAGTTGAATGACATGCAGTTTCTGGTCCTAGCAGAAAGAGTTGTTTGCTGGTAAGGAGAGTCACTAGTGCGCTCCCATTGCCATACACAGTGCAAATAGCACTCGCGTCTGTTTCCAGCAAGTGCAGTGTATTGGAGGGAAGAGAACCTACTGTTCTTGTCAGTTTCCTAAGTAGAGTTGAAGTAGATATGGCCCTTTGTTGGGGAAGCACAGTTCTTTGGTTCTGAGCAAGCTTACTGTTGTGGCCCTATCGGAAACACAGTAGAGTAGAAGAGTGCTCCTTTTGCAAAAGCAGAGTGTGTTTCTTGTAAGGCGAGGTAGTGTTGCTCTCCCCTTCATAAACGGATTTGAATCACATGCAGTTTCTGGTCCTAGCAGCAAGAGTTGTTTTCTGGTAAGGAGGGTCACTAGTGTGCTCCCATAGCCATACACAGTGCAAATAGCACTCGCGTCTCTTCCCAGCAAGGACAGTCAATTGGAGGGAAGAGAAGCTACTGTTCTGTGTTTAGAGTAGGTAGGTAGTTAGGCAGGCAGGCAGACAGACAGACAGACAGACAAAACAAATAGAATCAACTTTGAAAAACAAACATAGAACATACATCTGTGTATGAGAATGTACATCTGAGTACAGTTGCCCATAGAAGCCAGAAGAGGCATCAGATCTGGAATTAGAGTTCCAAGCAGTTGTGAGCCAATTGATGTGGGTGCTGGGAACCAAATTTGGGTCATCTGGAAGAGAAGTCTGTGCTCTTAGGCACTGAGCCACCTTTCTAGCCTCTTTTAACCTTTCTTGGATAAATTTTCCACTGTATGAAATGTTTCTGTACTAATTCTACAATGCAGAAAATCATCATCAGGAAAAACAAGAAATTCATTTTGCCCCTTTTTTGTTGCTTACCCACTCACAAAGAAGAAACATTGGGCTCCAAATGGGCAGTTATTTATTGGATATAAACCAAAATTTTAAAACATTTCTGAGTTCATCAAGAAGAATGATTCATCCTTCATGTTTACAGTAGAACCATTGCCAGAGAAAATTATTTTTCCACAGGATTCTTCTCTATTATCTGGCCTCACTCTCACTTTAGTCATAAAATCCATGTAGCTAATGGCAGCGGTCTCACTGATCTGCATTGGATATGCAATCACAACTTCCAGGGACTATGTTTGATATCTACATAGACAAAAGTCATGTTTACATTCTGGAAGTTGAAATTCTATATATGTGTTTATTTGTTCAGTGTTTAATGCAACAGAGGTTTCCAGCTTTAACTCTGTTCTAGGCCTAGGGGGCTAGGGCTGAGGTCAGTTAATGGCAGCTAGGTTTTTTTCTTTTGTGGTCAACATAGATCAAGTAAAATGCTGTGTGTTTACCGAGTGACTGACTGTTCATAAGTTATGAGATCTACAGGTTGGAAATGCAACAGGCTGCAGCCACACCCGCCAAGGCTGAAGCTTATGTCAGGCCCATGGTAGTGAATGACCTCAGCAGCACTACACCCTGTGATTTTTTTTTAATCAGTTTTCTATAGGAAAGCAACCGAGAAGAGAGAATTAGTTACGCAAAGGCAAATTTTTCTCTTGTTCCATCACTGTTTTTCAAAAGTGGAAGAGACATCAACAATGGTTCACAGAAAATGATTTCACTTAAGTCCTGTATGCCTTGAAGTGACAATGTAATGCAAATCGTTGCCTAGGATTGTCCCCTCACCGGTTATATGCAGCTATGTGAAATACCAGGTTTCTTAACCATTGAAACTTGTGTATAACTATGATAAGCAGGCCAGAAGAGGGAACCAGATCTCAGTATAGATGGTTGTGAGCCACCATTTGGTTGCTGAGAATTGAACTCAGGACCTCTGGAACAACAGCCAGTGCCCTTAACCTCTGAGCTATCTCACCAACTCCCCCCCCATCTCTTTCTATCAAGATATAATCTGAATTCAAAAGTAGTTTGAGGGATAAACAGAGATGCTATGACTACACAAATCTGTACAATAGAATATTACTACTGATTCATACCTAAAGTAACCTGTATCCCCAAACCCTAGTGCACTAGAACTAAATGTACTAGATGATTTTCTGTTGCTCGCTGTTTTGAACTTTGAAAGTATAAGAGTAGTCTACCAATTTGGCCTCTGGCCACTGGGACCTTGGTTATGTCACATCAAACAGCATCATGTCAGGGAAATGAATGGTCGACTACAAACCTCATAAGGTTTTCTTTTCCTATCTATACAAATAAAACACAGTGTTATTTGGCATGGAGTTGTTGTGACATGTACATTCTTATTCAGACCCCCAAACACTGACTAATAACGAATGGGTTTTTGTATTTATACCATACAGACATTCAAAATTGTTGCCATGAATTAATTTTAGGAACTATAACTTGATTCATTGCAAATTTACTTTAAATGTAAGATATTTATACATTATAGCTTATTGGTGTCCCCCCCCCCTTCTATCACTATACTAACCATCTTTACAGGTGGGTAATTTTTTTTTCTTTTTGGCGTAATGACTCTGTTTTTCAAAGAATTCACAAGCACACCAATTAGATATATGAAGGCAGATTCCAAATAATACTTACAGGAACAGTGTAGCCAATCTCTGCCAGAATCGCACCATTTACCTACCAGTATCAAATCCCACAGTGAAGTTGTGTGTGATGGGAAATTGAAACCCTCTCTCAAATCCCACAGTGAAGTTGTGTGTGATGGGAAACTGAAACCCTCTCTCCATTGTTGTCCGTCTCATATGTTCAGAGTTAGTGAAAGGAGAATATTGGATTATGCACATTTGTCCCATATGAGTCAAAAGCAAATACTCGGGGGGTTGTATGAGACATCACCATTCACTCTTTGAAATAGGAGGGATGAAAAAATATCAGATTGGGTTTGGGGATTTAGCTGAGTGGTAGAGCGCTTGCTTAGCAAGCAAAAGGCCCTGGGTGTAGATGTAACCAACCTTCTTATTAAATAAGAAACACAGAACCAATGCAAAGAAGAAAGCCAAGAGGTCAGAGCTAAGAGCTAAAACCTTACCCTTCCTCCTGCGGTGGTCCTACCTCTCCGAACCAGAGCTTCCCGTGTGTTAAAGTCTTTATATAGAGTTCCTGTTCTGCCTTCTCATTGATTGTAAACCCAACCACATGACCGCCTCATCACAGCCTGTCTGTATAGACCTCCAGGTTTTCCATGATCGGTATTGAGATTAAAGGCATGTGTATCCAATACTGGCTGTATCCCAGAACACACAGAGACTTACCCAGCTCTGCCTACCAAGTGCTGGGATTACCAGCGTATGCCATCACTGCCCTGCTTTCCTATGGCTTGCTAATAGCTCTGACCCCCGGGCAAATTTATTTATTAACATACAAATAACATTTTAATACAAATAAAATATCACCATATTTCCCTTTTTCTATTTTAATAAAAAGAAAAAAAGAAAAAGCTTATAATTAACATAAGAAAACCTATATACAAAAGTACAATAACTATATACAATATATACAAGTAATAAATACCTAAACAATGTCTAGTTCATTTGTATTTGACAAATTCAGAGAAAATAATTCCATTATCTACCCTATTGTATCTAATTCACTTTCTATCCTAATTAATCTTCAACTATAACTAACTAATCTTCAACTCTCTCAGAGACCCAAGAAGGAAATAATATTAGCTAACAAAAAAATAAAAACAGGAAGCATATGCAAGCAACTTCCAAAAAATTGTGAGTTGACAGAAACAGCCAGCTGCCTGGACAATCATCTGAGGTTTCTCCGCAGTGTCGGGGCATCATCTTCAGCCTATAGGCTTAGCGTATCTTAGCGTATTTGGGAAGCAGGATGTACACAAGGTCAACAGTTCAATCTCACATTGGTGTGAGAGCAGTCTATATACCAGAAACACCTGAATTCCACTAGTGTCCTGTCATGATTCAGGATTTTAAATTCTGGAAATTGTTGATGTTTTTTTGAATTCAGCTGTCCATTCTTCTTGGCTATGTGTGTATGTGGCTTCATCTCAGCATCCCGTTCTTCTCCACATCCCTCTATTAAATGCCATTCTACTGTTGAGAGACGTGCGCTTAATTACTCTTGAAGAATAACTGTTTCAGCCACTGTCCCATTGCACATCAGAAGCCATCGGCCCACTGCCTGTTCAGCTGCCTTCGAAGAAAAGGGCACTGTACTTTTCCCGGATTGGGAAGGTCACTTCAGAGATGGTGCCATATTGTCCATAACCACACTTGTTTTGACAAGAATCAGTAGTCCTTTGTTTCGTGTCCTGTCTGTCCTGTTTGTCAGCAGTTGATTTGAGGATACTTTGTTGTCCAGTGGCTAACTTTTGCCACAATGGAAGTTAACTCCAATTGCAGTTTTTTCAATGCCCATATTTTCTCTGAAGTAGATTGGTACTGCCAGGAGCCGGCATGTTTCATAGTCATAACAAAAAAGAAAAGTTTTCTAAGTTACTAAAACATTTTAAATGTCATATTCTGTAGATCTCTGAAGGGTCTGAAGATAACCTGTCTATCTAAAATATATGTACTCAATCTTTAAAACACACCTAATATAACTACAAGTTCTATTATAATGTCTAACTACTAACTTTCATTTTTTTATATCCTAATAGTTGGTAATAACAACATTCAAGGATCAGAAAATTGCATTACATTGTTAAATGAACGGTACAATTAGAAATATACATATAGCATTTTCTAACAATATCAATTTCAATGTATATAACTTGTATACAATATAAAACGATCCAATCCAATGTAAAGTATTTACATTTTTCTTTTCTTTCCTTCTTTCTTTCTTTTTTTTTAAAATAAGAACCTTAAATCTAATCTCCTTTGCTAACCCTTTTCCTAACCCTTGACAACTTGTAACCAACCCCCTCAATCAATGAAAATTATCCCAGACCCAAGACCCATTAAAAGACCAAAAAAACCACCACCCCCCACACACACCACCTCTTTGGGAATGTGGGCGTCACATTCTTGAAATCGCTTCCTGCTGGGTATGGGCGAAGGTATCTTTATCCTGAAAAGGAAAATTTTAGGTTAATTGTCAAATTCTAGGAAACGTAACTATATCCTTCAATATCCAGTCTGTGTATAATGCCAAAGTTCAGGGTCTATCTCAAATCCTTATTCAGGTAGTCTTTGAGACTGGAGCATCTCAGCTAGCTCTCTCAAAATTGCTCTGAGCACTTTGTAGTTCAAAGCTGATCTGTAGATGATGTTTGTCAGCTTAGTGATGTTATTACTGTCCACGTGGAATTGTTGTTGTTGTGGGGCCCCAAATCTTCCTGGTTGTTACTGTCTCCTTTATACTTGTGTCAACCCATAGTCCCTAAGGAAGCTTGGTAATCTTATTTATAAGGTTCAAGTTGGTGTTTTCCTTTCTCCTTCAGTTTTTCCTAGGCAGTTTATTTATTTTACATGGCAGTGTGTTTAAGCTTTATTAGTAAGTGTCAGTGCTTGCATTCAAACTCAGTTTGATCTGATGATAGAGCTAACATAATTTACCCACATTTACATATCTCCTTGTATAAACAGCTTTGAATGGTACTTTTAAAACTTTTTAGTTAAAATACAAATATATTATTTTTTCTCTTGGTCATCCCTTTAGATAATATAAAACTCCCCAACTCCCTTTAAATAATATAAAATATTGAATCCCTGTGTCATTCAATCATCCATAGTGTTATTCATCATTCCCTCTTCCTCTCCTTCTGTATTTTCCTCCTTCTTTCTTCTCCAGTTAAAAGTCCCTCCCATTTTCCCCATTTCTCCTTCATATTACCTGTGTCCTCCTATTTCCCTCTTAGGGGTTCCCCTTGTCATAGCCCCATTTTAGTTACCTCCTTTCTGTAATCAGTTTTTGTTGTATACACATATATGGAGATTGAGGGCTAGGAACCAAAGGTGTGAAATAACATGGGGTATTTGTTTTTGTGGGTCTTGGTTATCTCACTCAATATAATATTTTCTAGTTCCACTAATCTACTGCATGGTTTCAATTTTCTTTACAGCTAAATGGTATTCTGTTATATACATATACCACATTTTTCATTATCTATTCACTATCTATTAATTGAAGGACATATAAGTTGTTTTCATTCCTAGTAATTGTGAACAGAGCATCAGTGAACATATCTCTGCAAGCATCTGTGGAGTAGGATGTTGTCTTTTTGAAGAACTGTCAAGAAGTGGTAAATCTGGGTTATATATTAGATGTATGTTTGGTTTATTGAAGAACTAATCACAATGATTCTCAGATTGCACTAGTTTGCAATCACACAGTAGATTATGATTCTATTTTCCTACATCCTCACTAGTATTTGTTGCTATTGGTTGTCTTGATTTTAGCCATTCTGAGATTGGTTATATGAAATCTCAAAGTTGTTCTAAGTTTTATTTACCTAATTTCTATAGGTAACGAATATTGGGTAGATATTTTTAGACTTTTTATTTCTTCTTTTGAGAATTTTTTTCAACTTCATTACCCACCTTCCTTGAGATATAGTGTCTCTTCATAGCCCTGGTTGTCCTTGAACTCATTATGTCAACCAGGCTGTTCTTCTAATCGCTAGAATCCACCTTCCTCTACATCTGGAGTACTGGTATTAAAGGTGTGAGACTATGCCCGTCTCTCATATCTCATTTTTAAATTGAGTCATTTGTTTTCTTAAGTCTTTGTTTTTTTTGGGTACCTTATAGATTTTGATATTAAACTATTATCAGATATATAGCTGGCAAAGATTCTCACTTTGTAGAGTTTGCCTTCACTCAATGGACTGCCTTCTCTGCTCTACAAAGCTTTTTAATTTTGTGAGGCAATATTTGTCAATTGTTGACCTTAATTTCCAGACAAATGGAGTCCTGTTCATGAGATCCTTTCCTACACCCATATTCTTTTGGGTCCTGCTTCAGTTTTCTTCTGGAAGATCTAGAATTTCAGATTTTTCACTGACGGTTTTGGTCTATTTGCAGTTAGTTTTCTGAAAGATGATCAATATGGGTCTATTTCATTCTTCTACATGTGGACATCCTGTTTTCACAGCACATTTGTTGAAGATGCTGTCTATTCTTCAGTGTGTATTTTTGGATCTTTGTCAAATATCACGTGACTGTAGTCATGTGTACTCATGTTTGTGTCATATTTTTTCTTCCATTGATCTATATATCTGTTTTTGCAACTGTAGGACACTATGTTTATTAATACTGCTTTAGAACATATTTTGAAATCTGGAATAAGTATTTCTGCATTGTTCTTATTATTAAGGATTGCTGTGGCTATCCAGAATCTTGTGTGATTCCATATAGATTTTAGGAATTTTTTCTAGTTCTTTGAAGAATGTCATGGTGATTTTCTTGGTGTTGCCTTGAATCTATAAATTGCTTTTGGTAGGATCATTATTTTCACAATGTCAGTTCTACCATTCCTGAATCAAAGGATGTCTTTCCATCTTGTAGTATGTCAGTCTCTTTATTCTGTGATTTAAAGCTTTCACTGTAGAATTCTTCCCCCTCCATGATTAGGATCATTGCAAGGTTTATTATATACTTTGAAGGTATTTTAAAAGGAAACAATCTCCTTCTTAGCCTGCTGGTGTACATAAAAACTACTGATTTTTGTAAGCTGAATTGTATCCTGACTCTACTGAAATTGTTCATCATTCAACAAGTTTTCTGGTAGAATATATATGTGTGTGTGTGTGTGTGTGTGTGTGTGTGTGTGTGTGTGTGTGTGTGTGTGTATTCTGTAAATAAGGTTAATATGACTTTCTCTTTTTCTATAATTTCATTCTTCTGTTGCTTATTGTAGCTAGTGATTTGAAGATTGTATTGAAAGAGAGTTAGTGAACAGCCCTGTCTCACTCTTGATTTTAATTTATTTCAATGTTATTGCTTGAGTTTTCTCCATTGAGGATAATGTTGGCTGTGAGTTTGTAATATAAAGCATTTGTTATTTTGATGTGAATTATGTATTTTATTTGATGTATGCTTCTGTCATTCCTAGTCTCTCTAGAACTTTTATAATGAGGGCATGTTTTTTTTATTTCAAACACTGTCTCAAAATTATCTCTGCCAGTGCTAGAACTCAATACGTAGTCCAGGCTGATGTTCACCTCACAGATATCTAAATGCCTCTCTATCCTGTGTGCTGAGCTTAAAGCATACAGCAACAGTGTGTTGAATTTTTTAATCATTTATTTTTTATTTTCATAATTTTTATGTTTAATGTAAAAATTATGTGTGTGCCTGTGCATCAGTATATGGGTATGCGCACATGAGTAATGATAGTAATTCTTATTTTTTAATGTCTCTATTTTTCATATATGTGTGTATTATAAATTTTCTTATGATATTATTGCAATATATAGAATGCATTCTAACATACGGACATATAATACATGCATATATATGTATATATATATATATATATATATATATATATATGTATTTTGCTTATAATCACATCCTATTGCCTCATCTTGTCTCTCTCCCACTCTTACTGTTCTTATCCCTCTTCTATATTATTTTTTTCTGCTCTAATGTCTTTAAATAAATTTGGTGACTCACATAGATCCTCAGGGAGAGACAGAACCTCATGAATCCTACCCTTCTCCATAGCGGAATATTGATAGGTCTTATCCTGTGAATGGTCCTGGGTCATTAACCACAATTTCTGGGATTTCAAGAGTGCAATGAGCTTTTCATGCCCAGAAGTGAACTTTATATATGTCTCTACCTTTCCTATAGATTCTAAAATGTTTAAGAAACTTTATTTATTTAAAATGTGTATGTGTTTGTGTATATGGGTAAAGTGTCCATGAAGACCAGAAGAGGGTGTTGGATCCCCTGGTTCTGGAGTCACAGGCAACTGCCCAAAGTGATAGGGGTTCTGGAAACTGAACCCAGGTCCCTGTCAAGAACAGTATATGTTCTTAACTAGTGAGCCTCTTCTCCAGTCCAGACCTTATATTTCTTCTGCTCCTTTCCCTTTTTTGTAAATCTTCCCTGAGCCTTTGAGAGAGTGATGTAGATGTCATATTTAGGAGTGAGCATTCTGTAGTCTTTTTTTTTTACTTTGTTTAGTTAAAAATTTCTGTATAAATCTTTGCCCATGGTAAAATGAAACATTTTCTCTGTGTAGCTTTGTGTCTTTACTGGAACTTGCTTTGTAGACCAGGCTGGCCTCGAACTCACAGAGATCCACCCCTCGAGTGCTGGGATTAAAGGCATGGACCACCACCTGGCAAATGAACTTTTAAGACAAACATTGACAGCAATAATCTGAGGGTATAAACATAAGAATCTAAAAGCCAATTAGATAAGCATCACATTTCATTTAGTAGCAACAACAGTAGTTTCTGCACTAGGGCCTATGACATGTTTTAAAATACTGCATGTGGAGAGATGGCTCAGACATTAAGAAAAAATAACTCTACAGATGGGGATGATAACATCACAAGCGTCTTTCCCGTCTGTGCTGGATTTTTACATTGGATTGCTCTTCTAGATGTCTAGTGGGGATAACCATAGCAACTGTGAGTCCATGTGAATCATACCCATGTCACTCCCAGAATTAAGCCCTTTGTGGCACTCCTTTGGCTCTAGCTGTCTTTTCACCACATCTCCCAGAAAGTTCCCTGAGCCTTGAGTGTGAGTGGTTGTAGGTATTCTGTCACTTTCAATTTCCTTAATTCTTTTTGTATAATCTTATTTGTTCCACATAGTTAATAACATAACTTGAATATGGAAATATTTCCACTTTCAGTGAAGTCTGTGTGCCTTTGAGTGTATCTTTTTTTCTCTAATTTCAATAGCTAGACACCAGGTTAGGATGTAGTAAGAGGTGAGAACTGGTCTTTTAAAATTGTTGCTTAATAGGAAAATCAGTGTTTCTTAACAAAGTGAGGTGCTAGATGAAGGTTTTGTGTGATGTAGTTTTTATCACATGTATGAAGTTTCCCTCTCACTATTAACAAGTATATGTATAATTAAGAACTATTGAAATATTCCAAGTCAGAATCAAATACAGGGGCATATGGCAGAAGAAACATTCTATCAGGAAAAGAGAAGTATAGTGTTCTTTTGCTTATATTTCAGTATAAAAAAAAATCAAGGAGAAATATTGCCATTATATTCAATTAATGCTTAGGCTAATAATACTTAGTCCTTCATATTTGTGATAATTTAATGGTTACTATGTCATGTCACTTCCTTTCAAAATAGCTCAACCTGAAGATACTTGTAAGTGCAAAACTGGTCTAAGGAAAAGTTTGCTAATATAGCCCTCTTATATGTACCCTATCGTTTTCATTGCATTTTGGCTACTTGAAGCAAACCTGGACATAGTTAGGAAGAGAAACCTCAGTAGAGAAATGCCTCCATCTGCTTACTTGTAGAAAGGCTGTGGGGCATTTTCTTCATTAGTGACTGTGCGCAACTCACTGTAGTTGGTGCCACCCCTGGGCAGTTAGTCCTGGTTGTATATGAAAACAGGGGGAGCAAACCATGGTGAGAAAGCTAGTAAGTGGCATTCCTCCAAAGCTTCTGCTTCAGTTCCTGCCTTCAGGTTCCTGCCTTCAGTTCCTGCCTTGAGTGCTCTCAGTGACAGACCGTGGCCTGAGAGTTGTAAGATTATTAAACCCTCTCCATCACAAGTTTCTTCTATTCATAGTCCTTATCATATCAATAGAAACCTATCTAAGTAACCAACATTTTCTGTACTGACTTGGAGAATACTTTTGTTCTCCCACCTATGTTTTCACATAGAAAGACAGTTTTTTTTCTATAGAAGAAATCATATTGAAATGAAGATTGTAATATAACAGCTTTATCCCACACAGGTGGCTATATGTATCCTTATTTAATTTTGGGGGTATTTTACATATTTTATTTTTTATGAATGTGTGCCTGAATGTATGTATGTGTACTGCATGTGTGAAAGTACTCACAGAGAGCAGAAGAGGGCATCAGACACCCAGAATTGGAGTTACTGGCAGTTGTGAACCACCTAATGTAGATACTGAGAATTGAACCAGAGTCCTTTGCAAGTGGTATTAACCACTGAGCCATTGCTTCAGCCCTAGTTTGAGGAACTGTTAGAGGCTAGCATAAAACCTGCCACCTATAAGAGGGTTAGTAGCTATTAACAAATGTTTTCTATTTATACAGATTTTATAACTGTTAAGATAACCAATCTAATAGAGGGAATAATCTATTTTCTTTGTATGGTAGCCTTTTGGTCCACCTGGAATAATGAAAAAAGGTATAACAAGATCTGAGAATGAAGAATGGAAAAGAATCCAATCATTGCTGACACCAACCTTTAGTAGTGGAAAACTGAAGGATGTAAGTTAATGGAGGACTTTTTATTATAAATGTAATATACTCTATCAGAGGACTGGTAGAGATAATATTATACTCTTTAAAGAGAAGTTCCTTTGAGCATTACATTGCTAATAATGGTCTTTGTTTTTCTGTTTCATTATTGTGTTGGTTCTTTGTTTTGTTTTGTTGTTGTTATTTTGTCTTATATAGCACTTTTGAAAATATGATGATCTTTTTATAACTTCAAAGACTTGCTTGTTATTTGGGGACTCAGATGTTGCCATTTACCATGAGACTGTGTTGTGTTTTGTGCTTAGATGTTCCCCATCATCCAAGAATATGGAGAGGTGCTGGTGAAAAACATGCCTTAAAGAATTTTTTCAGTTTCATGAGGTCCAAATTGTTGATTGTAGATCTTAGTACTGGTGTTACTGATGTACTGTTCAGGAAATTGTTCTCTGTGTCAATGCATTCAAGGCTGCTTTCCACTCTCTCTTTTACCAGGTTCAATGTAACTGGTTCTATGTTGAGGTCTTTGACCCACTTGTGCAGCAGGGTACTGTGCTGTTGTTCCCTTTGGGGGAGGGGGCCAAGTAGGCACAGAGTCAATGACACAGACTCTGGGAGAATGTCAAAACAACAAACTCAGTTTATTTAGGGAGAGACAAGACTTATATACCCTCCACCCCACCCTGGGGGAGGGTCTGATGAATATACATCTGCTGGAGTGACCTGGCTGCCTCTCATTGGTCCAGGTAAACTCCAGATCATGTCTCAGCTGCCGTTGCTAAGGCCCTTCAGTAGACCCAGGTTTGGCTCTCAGAAAGTATCTTTTTTACTGGTTTGTGCTGTAACTTTGGGATGGCCCTTAAGCCTGTTAGGGATGAGTGATCCCACATATCCACCCCTTTTATTATTTTATAGGACATGCTCAGTGGGAGCTAGGGTGCAGTGCCCTTAC